TTTTTCAATAGTGACATAAAGCGCAATATCCGTACTGTACGCCATCAAGCGTGCGTCGTGCTGCATTTGGCGTACGCCATACAGGCCCGGAGATCGCGGGTGGTTCAAAGGAAAGCCACAAATATGGTTAGGTGTCAAAGCTCCTTTCCTTATGCAACCGGCCTAGTCAATCTGCACCTCTTCCCTTTGAGGTACAGGCAACTTCGCGGGAATCTTTTGCAAGCCTGCCGCATTGAAAAGGGGTTGGATTTCAGCCTGGTCTTCGAGGACTTTTTTAAATTTGCTATCAAAACCAACCTCCGAGGTCACCCGTTTAAATTGCGCACTGAGCAGACAAGGCTAGATGTCCGGAAGTTCTCCTTCTCTGTTCGAGTGGTCAAACCATGGAATGTTCCTCCCGCAGATGTTGTGATGTCACCATCAATACAAAGTTTAAAAAAGAATCCTGATATATTTATGTTCCGAAATGGCCAAGAGCGATGAGAAGTGGAGCTCACCCCTGTAACTAGTTGTCATTTTGTCCTACCATTATGGGCGTGTTTAGACTAGTTCAGCCTAAAACATTTATACTTATGCCACACATTTTTAAAGTTCTAAATAGGGTTCTTAAAGGCTTACGCCTATTTCCATCAATAAACTGAACTAAAGTGGAAAAATGAGGTCCACGATTTATGAGGCGCTCTACGCGCTTGAAAGTGAAGGCATATCATTGCCAGTAAGTTGTGGTAAATAAGGATGTCATACCTTATAGGAGCCGCTGGAGGACGCCAATGATTCTTCCTGGTGATGATTTAACAGCAAAAGTGCTCAATCCGAATGATCAGGAAGATATTTTGTCGCTTACCTGTAAACACATGAAGGCACGGTCAATGAAACAGGACAATGTGATGGAAGAGTGCGCGAAGTCCTCGGACGTCAGCGGCTGTTGAAATCGATGATTCTACAGCAGGCACAAACTTCGGGACAGGTAGCTTCGTTATTTAAATGTCCAATTACTAGACAACGGATTTGGAAACCAATTGGTATGCGAACCAATTTATCACACGTTTATGCGTTAGACGTCCTTCCTAACATGCATTGGAGGGCATAATATGGACAATTTTGCCAAGCGAATATTCTTCGCTGTCTTCGACGACAAAATATGCTTGCATGTTAATTTCACAGGGAGGAAGATAAAAGAGAGCCTGAGTGGTTCGAAACTGTTTGAGGTTAGACTTGGTAAGTCTATCGTTACTTACAACTCTACAACGTGCAGAAGTCTTTGGTGCTTGGAATACCAATGCCAGCGCAAAGTTGTCTGACCTTGAGTCAGCAATAACCAAGCGCCTGAAAAGGTCGCTGGGCAGCTATATCCAACGGGGAAACAAGCCACAAGTTTTTTTCAGATAAGAAAGGTAAATTGATTGCCGTTTATCAAGAACTAATGCTGACTTGTATACAATATCCCAGAACTTCAACAGATTCGTCGCCTGCGTGAACGCCGTAATCACAGAAGAGTTCCAGCAAAACTATGCACATATTTTATTATTTTATTTTTAAATATAGTTATTCAACAATAACCGTCTCCAAAGTACCTCTGGGTAAACAGGAGGGGGGGGGTGTAAATAAACACACGAAAAGGAATGGGTGGGAGTAGAAAAGAGCATTGGGATAAGAAAACCATTTTGATCGTAGCGTATTACCCCCCCCCCCCCTTTTCACCAAAGGCGTCATATCTCAAATGATCGATATCAGATAGATATCTATTTTTGCAACAAAATAGATATCCAGTCGACATATGAATCTCAATAAATAGATACCTAATCAATATTGTTTGGTACCAGGGCTGCCAACAGCACCGCGGGAATCTCCAGATCCAAGAACGGCTGAGTCGTTTGCTGTTTGATTCATGTTGTTGACATGGTTAAAAAGCTCCTCCTACACCTTTTAATACTTCGTCCCATACTTAGAATACCTTGCGCATCCTTTGAATTAATAATGAGAGTCAACGAAAAACGTTCAGGACAACACGCAAAAAACGCGCCACAAATGGCATTCGAAGTCAGGTGCCGCCGGAGATGACCAACGAATTCATGACTAGACCCCACCGCATGATGAGCAGACTGAAATAAATAAAGGAGCAAACAATATTCGTTGTACAAAGGACTGCAACTCCGTTTATATCGCTGTCAAATCACCTAACCGGTAAACGGGCAAGGAGCTTTAGTAAGCTGTATGGATATCAAATAGGAACACGAAGCCTGTACGACATGTGTTGACTCTTTAAAAAACTTGCGGAAATGGAGAACGAGATAAAGGGCTTAAAAATGGAGATGGAGTAGCAGAGGAATCTCCCTCACCATTCATACAAAGAGAATGAAAGTGAGCGAACATACGAAAACCCGGCTTCCGCGGCAGTGTCGACAGTGGACAAAGAAAATAGTAGGTCAATAGAGGTCGATATAAATGACAACCAGCGTCTTATCCGAGAAAATTGTGGCCAGACGCAATCTCAACGAACAAAAAGAAGTCTTTGGGTACCTCGAAAAGGTACATGGAGTCAGACAAGGGAACAAGAATCGACTACACCGCAAACGAGAATCGTGCCGCTGAAAATAACAAATGATTAAAAGATCGTAGTAAACAGGCATGCATTCGTTAGTCCTGTCGAATCATACATTCCTAAATCGGTAAATAGCGGTTGTTGAGATATCCGGGATAAAGTCGCTGCAGGTATGATAAAACCCCAACTCCCTCTTGTTGACCGCAATAAATGTACTGTTATAAGGAGCATGTTTGAGTCTGTTTCCGACACTCGAAACACAGAATACAGCATGACAAAGAACTATTCCAGGAATATCTCAAATCGGACTTAAGAGGAGACGAGAAAGTCATCGTATTAATGGCGTTCAGGATAGGCCAAATAAAAGACTCAAAACATGAACCAGACCGACCGAGACCGTTCAAAATGATTTTCGAGAATGACGAGCAAGCGCGGCCACTGTTGAGCAGGAACTCTGCGCTATTACATTCCCATCCATCAATTTTTTTTCAGCGGGACTCTTTATCCCCGTAGATTGAAAAATGGAAAGTCTGAAATTGGAAGTCGTCAGGCGGTCGAGACTGGAGAAACAAATCTCAGAATATTGAACGGGAAAATTGTACGCGTCAAAAGCCATTCCTCTGGAGAAAGCCCATAAACTTAACAACTTAGGAGTGATGGAAAGCAGTTCATCCCGATCAGCTCCGACCGACTTTTGCATTCAATCCCATGAAATGAATAGACGCCTGTATGTCGTAGTCGCTCGTGCCAAATTGAGATTTTTGTATACAGATGCTCAAAGTGTCGTTTCTAAGATCGACTAACGCAAAGCGATAGTTTCAGAAGGAATCGCCGACGTCATTGCCACAACGGAACCTTGGCCTAACGGCGAAATCGCGGATGCCGAGATTTCGGCACTGGGTTACCAGCTGTTTCGTGGAGACCGTCAGAATAGACAGGTCGGTGGGGTAGTCGTATATGTAAGGCCAGGAATTTCGGCAGTTGAATAGGCGCACACCCTAGCTCTTGAATATGAATCCATCTGGATAAAGAAAAAATGAAAAATGTCCCTGAACGCCAGAAGACAACAGAGATCCAACCTAGAATATGGAAGGCGGATATTAACACGATCATGAACGAATTGATGTACGTGAATTGGGACCAGTTGCGCAGGGTAGATCCGGAGGACGACTGGATATCTTTTAAGATGATTTAACTCGATCTAATTCGGCGTTGTTGTCCACCTTAAGTACAAACAACAACTAATAGACCTGTTTGCTTAACTGGGGACCTAAACAGGCAGCTACGAATAAAAAGCAAAAGATGAAAAATATTCAGGAAATCTGCGCCACCTACGCATTTCGAAGAATTTCGTCGTCAACGAAATTCAGTCAAAAATGCATGCGTCAAGCACGAAAGGAGTATGAATCCAAAATTATCCGACAGGCTGGACAGAAGCCAAGATTTTGTTTCAATATCCTAACAGTGGACTGAAACCAAGGACGCGGTCGCAGTGCTGAATGATGAAAATGGTGGAGAAATCCTTGGGAACAGAGAGAAAGCCGAAGACTTTGCCTCGGTTTTTACAGCAGAAACAGAGTTTTTCAGTCGCAGTGACATTAATGCTGTTGAGACCGCTGGTCCCGTGTTACTTCATGGTCTTCCCGACAGCTGTCGTGGAAATCGAGCTGGGAAATCTAAAAGACTCAAAGTCTTTGGGTCCGGACAATACACCGGAAAAATTCTTGAAATAATTGGGGAATGAACCCGCCAACCTACTGGCACACATCTTCCGCTAGATATTTGAATTAGGGAGGCTGTCAAGGGAATGGCAGACAGCACATATCTTTCCGAAATACAAGGGCGTGGCTCGCACTAATGCTGACAATTACCGGCATGTTAGTCTCATCTACATCTGCTGTAAAATAATGAAAGCTGTAGTTAAGAAAGCAACAATGAAGTTCCTGGACCAGATTCACAAAACTTTCAGACCTACAGCACGGCTTCAGACAGAACCGACCGTGCCTTTCCAGTTTATTCCCTGCCAGCACCAGCCGCACTTGGCCGCACTTGGCCGAGGCAAATATGGTGTGGCCAAGTGCGGCTATGCTGCGGCCAGGTGTGGCCAAATGGTGTGGCTATTGTCTGGCCATCAACACATTGGCCACACTTGGCCACACCTTGGAAAAAATTTTGCGCGCGGGCTTTTTCTCGTTTTTTTTCCATTCATCGCGGCCTCGATTTTTTGGCCGTAAACGCCAACCATGACGAACGGTCGCCTAACGTAAAACCGCGAAACGAGTCACAGCGAACCTCCACGTCCCAAAGAAGATAGGCTACGGCGGTAAGTGGCCGACTACAGGGCAAATGCGAATACCGAAGATGGTAAAGTCGGAAGGCGGTATTGTAGAAGGACGATTTATTGAATACGTAAGTCAAAAAATGTAATCTACAAAGTCTGTCTTGGATCATGGGGGTTTCAGCGACCTTCGTATCCAGGATGCGAAGTCACTTCCACTGGCCATTGGTAGTTCCTGCATAAAAAAACTTTCGTAAGACATACGTAATGCAGGCGCAACGGAAGTAATGATACACTGTATCCAATACGTACGATTTTAATAGTAAAAATCACATGAAGTAAATAGCATGCTGTGTAGGATTGGCAATTCGATAAATTTGCTTACCGGTTCTTTGGCGGGGGATAATTGTGGGTATGTGGCGGCAGGTATGGTGATTTCTGTAGTCTAAATAAATGTGGATGAAAATCCCGAAAGTTTGTACCTGACGAATGTTCCGCCGACGTGTCGATCTTCCTCCGTACCGGTCCTGTGATCCATGAAACCACCTGATTGCTGTCCCTCTAAATATCTCTGTAGTGCAGTTGCCAAAACGGGGATGTTGGGCAGTTGCACCTGCGCGTGAAAATAAACAAAAATTGGACTTATCTCTAAGGACAGAAAAAAGTGGACAGGCCATGAAGGACTTCTTCTCCTTGGATCCGCCCACCCAACAGAAGTTGTGGCATAAGGGCGGGCCCAATAGAACCGTCAGTAAGTTTCTGAGGAAATCTGCCTCATTTCGACCACCTACCATGGCCAGTTGCCGGATCTGAAAACAGTCAAGCAGATGTGCACATACCGCCTCGTTTGCAAAACCGTCTTCTCAAACAAAATTCGCGCAAATCCGTCGTCAAGCATCTGCCTTCCACTGTGTCTACGCTGCCAGCCAATACAGGCAGTTCTATGTATTCCAGTTAATAAGGCACATACAACTCCTACCCGTTAAAACTTCCGGCATTAGTTCGGGCATTTGCAATTCCGGTGAATCATTTGCAACCAAAGAGGTTGATGCGATGCGCTGCTCCTCCATTGCAGCATAATATGCTCGACTCTGGCGCAAGAGCCGCTTGTATATAGTGCTTCGGTGAAAGCCGTAATACTTACGCTTCATAGCAACGAATAACTACTCAACGAGAGCAAATATTTTTACTTTCAACATTGTTTGCAAAATCATAAGTGAAATTATACTAATACATATGTTACTACATCTTAATAAGCATAACGAATACCCTAAATGGCATAACTTGGAAAATAAAAAAGTATCAAACACAAAATAGACGCCAAATTACTTGTTAATATGTCATAAACAATCACAGGACGAGAGAACCGCAACGCTTACCCCAGACACAGAAAAAGATCAATGGCGTCACATTGGCCCACTTAAACAAAGCACCCTAATCAGCTTATTTCGAGACATAACCACTGTTCACAATATGAAGATTCCCAGTACTTTATGAGTGATATACGATATATCTTGACTAATTTAGCACTTTGCAATGCAGAAGTGGTCACCTGCAAGATTAGGAGTTCCTCAAAAATTTCTTCAAATTTGGCGTGGCCATGGCCGCGCTTGGCCACACCTGGCCACACCTACAAGGTGTGGCCAGGTGTTGGCAGGGTTGTTTTGACGGCGCAGTGGATTCGCGCACCGGACGAGGATTGTAGGGTAGATGCCATCTACACGGACTTCGATAAGACGCACACAGGTACACGCTTAAAGACATTCTCAACCACCTGAACAGTTGATCAGGTCGTTGGATCCTTAATTTTAACGTGGACAAATGTGTGGTCCTGAGACTACGCACCGAAAAGATCATTGAGGAGGACGATGCCTTTCAATACGTCCTGGGTGGTTAGCCACTTTCATATGTTTCTGTCTTATAAATTCAAATATCCTATACAGAAAACATGCTCAAAATATGCTTTCTTTTTCTCATTTGTTAGAAAATACCATTGTCTTTATATTTTACACCCGAATAAAATGTATATCTATGTTTTAAAAAAAGTTTATGATTTCCTAAAAATTTTCAGCTTGATATGCCATTGCACCAGCATTTAGCATTTTCAGTCTACAAGGTGCATGCTTTTCGCGTTAAAAATCATATATTCCTCTATGACATTAAAAAGATACAACGTAGAGTTAATTACCTTTTGCGATGGATCCGGACTGTATTGTTCATTTCATGGGGAGCCTTAGTAAACGACATTTGCAGTCTTACATGATTAGACATCGCCAGGTCTTAAACATCTCATAATTAGAAAATTTTTAAAAACCTATATATATGTACACTTTTTGGGCACACAATATGAAGAGAATGTGATTTCCTACCAAATGAGCAGAAGAAAGCATATCTTTGTGCATGTTTTCTGTAAAAAAATATTTGAATTTATAAGACCAATCGAAAATCAATATGAAGAATGCATGCTATATAAGAAGTCATTTTTTACTTTCTACTAGTTAACATAAGATGTCTCAAGATGTATGTTAGACAGCTAACACTTCGGAAAATAGCATTTTCTACCTGTGGACCGATGTTGTTTTTATAACGATTAGGAAGTGCATTACGTTATGCTCTACTAGCAAAAGTATTCGAAGAAAACAAGCAAACAAGCTCCAATGACGAACTGATACCAGAACAAACAAACGCTCGAAATTGCCGCCGTCTCTGTTGAGGTAATAATTCACGGCAACGGTATTGGTTGAACCTGACGAATATACCTAAATGGCGAGAAAGTGAAGTTGAGAGAATCATCAACCAGGCAAAGGCAATCTTAACTGACGAACCATTGACATCTCATGTTCGATTTGGCAAATTAATGCATTTGCGGTGGCGAATCAATCAGGCCTTACCAGGCATCAGACGCTTTCAACACTTCGTTAAACTAAGGCGGATATATAACGCAGGAATTAAAATCATTTACGATAAGACCACTGGTCACCAGACACAATGATAATCTCACTGAAATCGTTGCGGATACTGAGGGAAAAAACAATGGATATTTTTGATGATAAAAATTCTGTCGTGAAAAATCCGAGTCTGTGAAAAGCAGATAAAGCTGAAATTGGTTTATTGTTGTAATCCAGCAATCACTATTATAATATGGCAAGGCTTAAGACGCATATGGCTTATCTTATGCGCCCATTAAGGAGTTGAGGCAGTAGGGTTGTTTTCCTAAATATATTTACGGCCTGAACTTTTGTAGGTCAGGGGAGATGTCGCCATTTAAAATCAAGTCAGCCCTGCTTTGGTCTAGAGCCGTCCAGTTTACTACTTCAGACTGACAGTTGCGCCGTAGGTCGCCAAATTGACCCAGCAGATTGCGGCTTGCCTTAAAAACGACACAAATTATGGGCTTTGGATAATGTAAGCACTACATCTAACTGTATGTATGAGCTTATAATATACAATAGACGCGCAAATTAAGGCAGTTTGTTATTCGTGGTTGCGTATCGAAATGATGACACCTGCTAAATAACGCATTGCTCCTAAGTGCTACATACTCCTAATGCTTTTGTTGAACACTTGTTTTACGACATGTAACGATTAATTAGATAAGACCGCTAAGTATTTGGCACTGGTGAACATTCCAGTATCAGCATATATACTTCACTTTTAAAAATTGTGACGACGTTCCAGGCATTCGACCAGTTAATATTCTTATCTACTAGCCGTTAGGAAAGACAAAGTAACCCTTTTAAATAGAATGGTCTATGAGACGGTATCCTGTAGATTGCCGAGCAGATGGTTCATCTTTCAAGGGCTTCGAGAGTTCATGCGTGTTCATTTCATCACATTTCAGGCGAAAACTGGACGGAAGTCACTCATCTTTCGTCCAAAGCAATAACTTTTGGTGCAAATCGTCTGTGCGTCTAGTATCCATAACACAGATATAGTTGGCGATTCTACACCGTGTCCTACTACTAAATTGGCATTTGCGTTTGAATATTGTACGTGAAAAGGTGTCGGGATTAAGTGACAGAGTGTCACAAAGAGCAACTATAATCTAGTCGTTCAGGTAGGCCATTTGAATTCATTAACTGTACAAAACACCCGCAGTCAATCAATCATCCTAACATGAATGCCAGATCATAAACATTTTACACGGACCAAGTGTATGAAAGTCTGTATGAAAAGTCCCGTTACACAAATGATGCCAATGTATATCTGTCGAGACTAAATTTTATGCAGGTGTAGTCCTAGAATAAGTGATATTACGTATAATTTGTGATCAAACGATTCGACGTCTTTAACTGCACCTGATTTGAAGACCAAAACATTGACTGTAATGTTGAACATTCAAAAAATAACACTTCATGACTTAATTTTGAGAGGGTATTTTGATTCGGAAACAAATGGCGCACGGCCCATATATCCCGTCAATTGTCACTTAATTTGGACAAAGCATAATTACGACCTTGTTATGGTACATCGGTGAGGCCACATTTCATAAAATACCTCGGAAGATAATTTGAGTAAATTGCACAACTCTACGGTCGACTTTAATCAAGCCAATAAACTCACTAGGGATAATTTGTGTTTGCAGGATTCGTAAATGATCAGAAGTAGACGAAGCTGCTAAATATGAAATTATGATTCAGTTGAAATATGCGTGCACCTGACACGCTACCACAGTCATCAGTGATTGATTTCTATGCACGTCGCCTTGGCGCGTCGCCTTGAATCGAGGTCCTGATGAAAGGCTTTTTCTTTTCTGCCGTTGGCGTGAGGAACTTCGGGGGACTTTTAGTCATGTACTTAACAATGAATTAATCGAGATACCCGTTTTTGCAATAAGTATTCTTGACAATCATACGTTCTTCCGCAATGCTATCGGTCGAGCAGATTCTTTTCCCTCGTTGTGTCAAAACATGGACTAAATTACGATTCATATTTAAAGGTACGAAACTCCCAAAATTAATATATTTTGCCGACCACGTTTTTCTTTCCAGAGACTTTATATCAAATAAATGCGTCAGACCTATTACTACAAAACGCACACAGAAATTGATAATTCTTGTTACTGCACTCTAAAACCACTGTCAAAATTGCGCCATTCTACTTGAGATATAGTTATAAATATAGTATATTTACGATGGTAAATACAGTCTGTTTATGAATATTAAGCTTTTGATGAGAACTTACTTACCGATTTATTGATTAGCAGTTTATGTGTAAAAGCCCCGTGGTCATTTTCAGACCTGTTTGATAATTGGCTAACAATTTAAATACTTGGACCCGCTCTCATCTTGTCGTCTTTCCTATCAACGTACTTATGTAGTAGTTGGCGCGCTTGTTCACAACTTGAACATACGTAACGAACATAATTTGCTAACCTGTTAGTTTTTTCGATATAGGTTTCTCACTTCTCTTTCATTCGCTAATCATTTGCGTCAGATTCCCGTTCTGAAAACTCATCGCAACTTTGCTTTTACACAAACTACCGGATTAGTATAAGACAGCAATTGCGGGCAGTTGCCCAGGACACATGCTTTACTTAATATCATATAACTAACAACCATACCAGTATTAATGACGCATGAAAAATCCATCTAGATTTTTGAATCCCTTATTGGCTAAAGACATTGACTGATAGCGAAATACTCGTTCATAAAACACGCATGCATGACCATGTTGAAAAGGAATTGGGAAACTAAAATACCACAAGATAATCTAATCGGTCCTGCAGTTACAACAACATAGTCATCAGGCAACTTGAAAGTTTAAGTCATCATTATTCTGTAGTGGGATATATCGCCAAGCTGTTTTCTGGTTCCTGTAAACAGGCGTGCATTCTTTAATGATAAACACGAGTTTCGATAAGATAGCAAAACCAAATGCAAACGGTGAAATTGTAAAATCGTTTCTCGTTTTTCTTATTTAAGCGAATATATGGGAGTAAAGAAGATCAGTTTCTGTATGAGAATGGTTGTGATCTTGCACATAACTATCAGTAACTCTCGCTGACGTAGAACTAAGAATTTTCGACGTAAAAAATACGCTTCTCGTGTTAATAACAAATAGTATATGATGAATTAATTTTAATCGCCATTAACACAAACTTTCTTCCAAAAAACCAAACGTTCTTTTTACCAACTGGGCAGGAGCCGTG